ATTGGTGGATCCAGGATTTTAAAAAGGGGGGTGTGGGAGCAGCAACCTACACTTCAGGGGTAGTTCACTCCCCCGTTCCCAGTTTGCCCCACGCACAAGGTGGGGGGCGGCAGCCAGACAGATTTTTAAGTCCCCAAATCAGGTAGTGCCTGCCCCCCTGCTCTCAGCACCCTTTCCCATCTCCTCCATGCTCAGTGGCACCTCCCCTCCTCTCCAATTCCCCCCTCCTTTAATTACACCTCTGGCTGCTTGTTGCCTCTGTCCCCACTGCTCTTGCCCTGTGCTCGCTGGGGCTGAAGGGAGTGGCTGTGCAAAGAAGTGGGCTCAGCAGGGGCAGCAGTGATGGCAGGCAGATTTCCTCTCCATGAGCCTGCTCCCAGACTGGCAGGGAACACCCAGGGGGACTGGGCAGGGAGACAGAACCAAATATGTGGCTGCTGCCACTATCCCCGCTGAGCCCAGCTCCCCATGCAGCCCAGCTGCAGCAAGGCAAAAGTAGCTCTGGAGGTCTCACCAGCCCCTGGATCAGCTGGGGCCAGTAGTAGCAGCAGGAAGGGAAGAGGGAGGAGCTGCTGAGCATGGAGGGAGAGGGAAGAGGTACCCAGAGGCAAGATTCTTACCTGCTTCAAGGTCTTAAAAATCCCCAGCTGCTTCTCCCACACCTGAAATAGGGGACTGTGCCACTGCACCCCTCTGGATTTGTTATCAACTGTTAGTAATATCTTATAAGGCCCAATGCTTATTTTATAGTATTTTGCATTTATTGAAGATATACAAGAGGAAGCAGTTCATTCATTGCTAGGGAACAGAGAATTTCTCTTCAAAAGTGACTGCAAAGATGATATAGAAATTTTCTATCATAATGGCCTAGGAGAGACTATGGCAGTGTGTACCTTTGTGACCTCTTCTAAGACCAAAGGAATTTGCTTCTGGTCTTATTTAATTCACAGATTAAATATAAATGAAGGTTCCCACTGCCTTTCCCTGACACAGATTCCATAGCTGTGTAATTCAGCAGTTGGTGCAGCCACAGTATAATACTCACCTCTGCATGTAGGCAGGATATCTCTGCTTGTAGGGTTTGTTTAGTTGATGCAAGTCCTGGCTTGCTCCTGTGTACACTTCGGGATAAATCTCTATTGATTCCTGATCTAAGACTAGTTTCAAGCATAAAGAAGGCCTTTCTGTTCAGCAGGATTAAAGGTGCAAGCACTGAATTATAGGAGAGAGGACTACTCTGGTGGAGGGATTAAACTCATATGGGGGAGCTGAGCAATGAATGTAGGTAAAGACTATATTTCAACAACACCATGGGAATATACAGTATGTAGTGACACTAAACTTGATTAAACAGAAAATCTCCCATAAGGAATGGCACCTGACATTTGAAATTATATTGGACTACACCAGGAAGCTATAATATTGATGTTATGTAATGGACCAGTTGGGCAATAGAACTTTTCCATATCTACTTTCCAGAACCCCCTCTACTCATTATAGGTCTTAAGGTAATTGCGCAATTACCTGGTTAATTGCGCAATTACCTTAAGACCAGCTACACATGCAAAGCAGCTATCACACCACAAAAAGCTCCAACCAGTCATGGGCAACTGGTGCCTTCCAAGTCCGGGGGGGCAGCAGATTGCTGGGGGGAAGGGTCCCCCAGTGGCCAATCGCCAAGCCGGGAACCACCAGTGATGAAACCGGAAGTGCACTTCCATTGGCACTTCCGGTTTCGCAGCTGGTGCTTCCAGAGGGTGCATGGCCAATCTCAGGAGGCGGATGTGCACCCGCGTGCACCCCCTACGCGTCGCCAATGCAACCAGTTATAATGTTAGAACTTGAAAATGCCTACTAACTTTATAGTTGATGGGACTCCCAACCTCAGGGGTGCACCAGGCCCAGCTGGGGCTGCAAGTCCTGCAACTGAGGGGACTCTCAGCCCCAGCAGCAGCCAACTCTGGGTCCCAACAGCACTAGGACTTAGACTCCTGCAGCTGTGGACACTGGGTGCCAGGTCCCAATTGGGATCCTGGCAACCAAGGGATGTGGCTAATCCAGGGGTGCATGAAACCGCCATGACCTGGGAGATCATGGCAGTCACAGTCCCCCAATCCTGGGGGTTTCCTGTACTCATGAAGCTAGGAGATCCTAATCTCAACTCAGGGGGCTGCCAGCCATCAGAGCTTGCTTCTTGCTAGTGCAGGGGGAGCCCAGGATCTAATGTCCAATCCCACAATCACACCTCCTGACATGCATGTGTGGCTTGGTAGGAGACTTAAGTGTGTGGATCATGCCTTAGATCATCATGCCTTTACCTGCATGTGTAGAGGGGCCCAGGACATAGCAGAAACCAACCAAGGTAGGTAAGTAATATACTACATATAATGTCACTCTGTCCCATTTACAAAAGCATATCCATTCAAGCAGTAACAGGTGTTAAAGGCCATTCCTCAATAAATAACCTGCAGAAAATCACATTCAGTTAAATCAAACTAACTTCACTGTATGGTGAATATTCTAATTTGCCCTGGTTATGAATAATGTAGTTTGATATTTGCACATCTGACTGATCTGAATTTCTTTCCATGGTTATGCTTCTACTTGGACAATACTATATTTATGGCAGCTTTTTATAGAATACAGTCAATGAAAGTAGAATACCAATCACTTTCAGCTACGCTACATCTGAGAAACCCAAGTACAGGGCTGCATTAATATTTAAACATAATTGGAAATATGGCCAGGTCCAGTGCAATGAAAGAGGACTCCTAGAGAGATCAATATTAGGAAAAGGAAATTTTAAACTTTGGAACTGTCAGGGGTGACACAAGGGTGGAAGCCAGAAGGGAAATGAAAGTGAGTATTAGCTGGACATAAGAAAAAGGGACAAAAAGAATAGCAAGAGGATGTAAAAAAAGTGAAAGTAAACAAGGAAGAAAAGGAGTGGTTTATATAAACAAGAAACCTAGGATGAACATGCACAGGGTATAGAACAGTGTGGTTAGTTTGGCAATGTGTTTAGTTTGGACCTTAAATCACAAGTTAGCCCTTAGCAAGCAACATTGTGTACCAACTGGATTTGCTCTATACTCTGACTTGAGGACAATGTGCATCTTTCTAATAAATCCTTTGAGAAAAAAGTACAGGCAACCTCTGCTTAATGCAATTTCACTTAGCACTATTTCGCGATAGCACTTGTTTAATCAGCACCTGATTTCACTTAGCACTGAGCCAGTTTCATTATAGCAATCAGTGAAGCAACAGTGGTGACAAGAAACAGTGAGTGCCAGCAAGTGGGTGGGCAGGCACAAGCACAGGGCCTGCACTCGTGTCACAGAGCCAGAGCCAGCAGGGGCCCAGGCTGGGGCAGCAGGAGCATGGGGCCCAGACTGGCACATGGTGCCAGAGGAACTGGTGGGCAGCAGGATGGGAAGAAGCAGCAGCAGCAGCAGCAGCGAGAAGTGGGGGGCGGGCATGAATGCAGGGCCTCCACCTGTGCCCAGGGCCAGGGCCACTGGGGGCTAAGGGCAGAGCGGCAGAAGCGTGGGGTGTGGGCTGGCATGTGGGGCCGGAGTGGCCACCAGACAGGCAGAGAGGTGAGGAGAGGTGCGGAGAGACAGCGGCAGTGGTGAGAAGTTGTGGCAAGCAGCGGCGGTAACTAATTATCTCTATTTACATTCATTCCTATGGGGAAATGGGTTTTGCTTAGTGCAGTTCCACTTAACGCTTGTTTTTTCCAGAACCAATTAAGAGCGTTAAGCAGGGGTTGCCTGTAGTGCTCTTGCCAGAGTAAATATTGCCTGCTAATCCATGCAGCTCCACACTTAGCCAAAACCAATTCTCTCTCCTATACTTGCAGGATTCTGCCCTAAGCTGTGGCTACATTAATGGAGTAGAAAACTTTTGACATTAGCCTAGAGCAAACTGTGTTGTGCCAGGCACACAGAAGGGAGAAGGCTGTGCACTTGACCATATGGGCTAGATATAGATGGTCAAAATGCTGGAGGCTGAATCAATTCAGTTATTGCAGGTTAATCTAGATGCACAGATTAAATAGAAGCAGAAATGATCAGATATTTACCTGTGATTCAGGAAATGCAGCCATATGCCTGCAGCAGCTCAGGCCAGAAGCTGGGGGACAGTAAGGCACAGCTCTCTGGCTGTGTTCACTTCTTCTTCCTGCTGCTCCCGAGGTCTCTGGGATTTGCAATCCAGAATTACAGCAATAGGATTCTGCAGGGTTGCTCATCAGCATTTCCTCTTCCTGCTTCCAGGTGCCTCTGGGATTTGTAGTACACAGCTGCAGCCAGCAGTAAGTTTCAGTAGAGGAGTAGGTGTTTAACCCCCGCCCCCCTGCCTGGCCCCAGACCCCAGCCAGGGTTTGCTGGGGGCAGTGCCCCCCTGCAGACTGGGCTGCCCACTGCTTCAGCTAGGGAGTAGAGGGGCGGGGCCAGCCCTGCTCTCTGGAGCAGGCAGCATAGCCCAGCGCAGGGCTGGAAAGCATCCTGGGATGCTGGGGAACTGATTTAACTTGAGCCAGGAAGGGGTCTGGGACAGAAGTTTCATAAACCAGTTTGACCCACATCAGTTAAGCCTGATACTACATTCAACCATGTTTATCTTAAACCAGTTTCTGCCACTTTGAAACTGGTTTATACGCAGTGAGCTTCTGTTCTGTGACATGTTTAAACCGGTTTCTGATCACTTAAACCAGTTTATGTGTAACTTCTGTCCCTAGCCATGGAAAGCAGCCATACTGAAGGCTGAAAGCATGAGAAAACTGCTCTGATTTGTTCAGCATTGCTTCTCAGGATTGTGTGATGTTGGCAGTTCTTTTATAACATAGCACATTGGCCTGCCCCTGGTTAACCTGGGTGCATGTCCATGGTCAAAGAGCAGCAGTGATAAAGGGCCTTTTTCAGATTCAGGCTCTTTCCATGAGAATGTCAACTTTTCTCCCAGATCCTCAAACAAGGGCGTCACAGCATCGATGATTCTGATCAGGCCCTCTCAGAGGTCGAGAGAGGCCTGGGCCACTTCCATTTTTTGAGGCTCCTGGTATATTAAAAATATATTAATTCATAGTGCACTACAGGTGATGTGGCCCGGTAATGGGACACAAGTTTCAAGTTGTATGATGAATGTCTTCTTCTTGCTATCCTGTCAGTGTATCTCTGTGTCTGTATGTATAACCTCATTTGGAGATAATGTCAAAAGTCTAAATTTGAGGCCCTCTGTGAATGAGAGGCCTGGGCCAAATGGCCCTCCTGGCCGCCCCGATAGGCCCTGATTCTGATCACATGCTTTAGAAAAAGCAACTCCTGCACCCTCTTCAAGTACATGTGAAGAATATGGATGAAATCCTTAGCTGCTATAAATTGGGCTATCTCCATTGACTTGAACAGAGCTATGCCAGTTAATACCAGCTATGGATTTGGCCCTCTGTGAACGTGAAAGCTAGGCTAAGTGCTAGATGATGTTATCCACACTAACTCTGGCTATGTGGTCATACCCCTGAAGTGTACAAGCAGCTCAGACCACAAAAACACTCTTTGCTGATGTAGTTTTATTTTGTTTGGTAAACGGGTATGATCTGTAACAGCAAGAGATTGTTTTTGCTGTGTTTACACTAAAGGTTTTTTGATATAAAACTCTTGTTAAAAATTGCATTGGCAAACATTACTAGTATGAATACTACCTTAATTTCAAGCAGCTTCTAGTCACAGAATATGAAAAGATAAATTGTGGGAATCATCATAGCTGAGAAAACAATGGCTAGTCTAGCACCTGTCTACTAGGTAACATTTCTCAACTCCGTCTCCTTTGCTCCTAGTTTTTTTTAAATGTGCGTCTTTGTAGTGTAAGCTTAAATAATGGATTAATTTCGCCTGCGAGTTTGCTATGAGGACTGACTGAATCCATTATCTTATGTCTATTGTTAGCTGCATGAGAAAGCTGCATGTTTATCTTAATGCTGTTTGCAGGACTGCTTTTTCCTTCCACTTTGGTAGACAGGGAATGGTCAGAGACGTGTAGCAATAAGTGCACAGATGTAGGTCTTGATCAGGCTGCTCTGTGACAATAGGAGGAGCAGGTTACTCAAGGTCAGTACTAGGTCATGCAAGGTGAAGCACTCTGCACAGTTCTGTGGAAAAAGGAGCACGTCTTAATTCTCATGCTATGAGCAGCTGAAAGATCTTTTGGACGCACTCAGTGAGGTGCTACTGTCTCAGGCCTAACTCTTCAGGCAGGAACGACATGCTGGCCTCACAGTGCTGCGATTAATGCTGGATCAGTATAGATGTTATCTCTAGTTCTTTTCATCAGCTTATACCTTTCCCTTTGTGCCACACTCCTCACCACTGCATGGCTTCTCCCCATGTTTTACGTGCACACATACCCCCACTGAGCTGTATTTTCATAGCAGTTTCAAACAGAGCTTACACTTGGAAGTTGGTGCTCCCAACTCCAGCTGTCAGCATGCTGTCTACACTCAATAAGTCAGCATAGTCATACAAGCAAGGATATTGTTACAGTTATATTTCTCTGGAAACCTCCGGACTCCTCAGAAGCAGAATCCTATGTAGAAAGTAGTGAGTCATCATAAAACCAGTTGATTGTAATTTTATCTGAGATTTCAGAACAAACAACATACGCTAAGTTAAATACAAGGCAGGAGAATGGCTTCACCAGTAAAACAGGGCTTTAGCTTTGTGAGTGCTGTTGCAGGGGAACCTGTAATGAGACTAACCTACAGGAAACACAGATTGCTCCAGCACAAAGAGGAGCTGAGCCTGTGCTACCACAAACTGCGTTGAGAAAGTACAGTGTGTGCTAGCAAAACCAGGCTGCTAGATTTCCTCCTCAAGGCAAACTTACAGCACTCTAGGGAGATAAGAATTTGAGATACCGTATGTGCTTAGTGGTAAATGATTTAGTCAAATCTTGTGCAGTAAATTATTGATGTGTGCTTTTCCAGGAATATTTCCTGGGAAAAACAGACAAAAATTCAAACCCAGACAGTATTTGCATAGAGTATTAGACTATCTGCAGCTTCACTATTAGTCTGTTCCCAGCAGCCATGGACAGTAGAGGTTAATTCATATTAGAACATACCATAATGAATGCATCTCAAGGATGGGAAGAGTTTGGAAGCAGGAATGAAGCAAGGTCTCTTAGAAAACTGAATGCATGGACAGAAGACAGTAAACTGAGGACTGAGGAACAGCTTCCTTATACTCTGTGTTGGCTGTCCAGCAGCTTGGCAGTCTAGGGAATTCAATCATTTGGAACTGAAAGTGGAGCATTTACGATAGGGTTTGGTAAGCCCCCACCTCTAACGTGCACTATTTACATTCTCACGGACATCCTGTCACACTTTTAGCTTCTTTCATTCCTTGGCGATCTCAGAACAGCAGAGACTCCCTAAGCCTGGAGAAGGGTGATTGCACCCGAAAGCTTGCGAAGAACTTTTTTCCAACTACACAGTTGGTCTAATAAAAGATATCACATCTACCCAAAGAAGCTTGCTTGCCCTCCTTTAACGTACAGTTGTCTGCCAGGTGCATAAGTTTGAAGATATAAATTAAAGAAGTATGTCCTTTTCATGTAGCCTTACCCCCAGATTCTAGGGTGGCCTGGAAGGAGGGATCTTCTCCTTGGGCCACCTCTATAAAATTGCTCTTTATATTGCAGGTGCATTTGTGGCTGCTGCTCTATGCCTGGTCTCGGCACAAGTGATGGGAAGGAAGCGAAAGGAAAAAGGATATGACTAAGGACTTGGCTTAAAAGGCCTTTTGTTCTCATTACATTTTGTTTTTTAAAATAAGAATGATCTGCATTCACACAGCTTACATCTCATTGCACATTTAGGCTGGCTATGCCGGTAGTCAGGGTTTTGCTGAAGATCATCCTGCAGCAATTACCTGCCAGTCATCTACACTGTAAACCCCTTAGCTTGGCCCGCAGGGCGGTGCTGCCTGATCCTGGAGATTCTGCTGAGCTTCTGGGTCTGCGTTTGAGCCTGGAATCTCTTACCTGTTAGCCTGCCCCTTTCTTTACTACCTCGGGAGTATATTCCGGTGTGCCAGCCTTAAGCGCAACAGGACTTCCAGCAGCTATCCCACAGTCCATCATTGGCTTCTAACCCTTCTGAACTCAATTTGTATGGTTTTCTGCCACAAAGTGCTCAAAAGCAGCTCAAAAGGTGAAATTAGGCCGATTCCAGAAGGCCTGTGCTTTTTTGTGTGCAAGCAGGACAGTGTAGATGGCTGTGGTACAGGCTATAAAGCTTACTACAAACATAGAAGGACAAGCGATGTGGCTCAGATTGCTTCAGATTAACCCTCATTATCAGTGTAGACCAGTAATTCTCAACCAGAGTGCCATAGCACTCTAGGGTGCTTTGAGATCCTTTTAAGGGTTTTGGAGAATGTTCTGAAAAATTAGCAGAGCTAGGTGTGCAGACACCTACATGTGATTCAAAAATACACAGTGTAAAAACATTTCTGACCTGTCGTGGGTTTTTTGAGTTCTTTGCAACAGAAGAATTTCCCTGTTGTTTTTCTAAATCAAGAAACAAATGAAAGTTAATCTGGCATCTTCTGAGGGATGCCTCTAGTCTAAAACGTTTGAGAACCGCTGGTGTAGACATACCCTAATTTGCCAGTTAACATGAACTCTACAATCCACTTTGAAGGTGGATAAAGTTCATTACAGTTCATGATGATTAAAGTTCATGTCTGTTTGCCAGTCCTTCAACTTCCATCACACACAGTATGCAGTCATACTAGGACAATTACCTTCAAATGTAAATGTTGGTATACAACCATGGTGAGTCTATTTGCATTTGCACGTTCCTGGAATAGCCCACACAAATATTACAATTATGGCATTGTGTTTGTGTGTGTGCGTGTGTGTGTGCGTGTGTGCACATGTGCGTGTTTGCAGTCTGTATATATGACATCATTAACTCATGCTTGTCCAGCTGCCTGGAGGCTTGCAGAAGTTCTAGATCACCTCACTCTCTGGGCACAAGTAAAAGTACAAGCCGTCCTTTCAAAGAATCACCAGAACAAACAGGTTTATGAAGCCACCCCTAAATGCTTCATACTGATTCATACAACTATACAAGATGCAGCTTGCCATGGGTGGATCTAGGACTTTGAAAAGGGGAGTGTAGGTGGTGTGGTGCATCATCCTATATAACACAACACACAAAGCTTAACTAATATGGGGGTGAGGGGCCTAGTGCTATAATTATTCAGTTTTAGGTCAAAGAAACCACAAACATGACATTATAGAAATACACAGTAATTTGCTAGATTATAATATAAAGTTTAAAAAACACAGCTAGGCAAAATTAGTCAAAACCAATTATTTTATTAGCCCTATAGTCAGTATAGTTAAATGTGTATCTCTTATTCAGATTTGTAAAACAAAATCTAGTCTTCTTGAGGATCTTGATAGTGCATCCAACACTTCACTGTCAGTCATTTTCACACTTGAGTTAATGCTCACCTGGGTTAATATTACCACACTTGAGTTAATGTTTTTACCAAGAGTTAAAAACAGACTGCAGGGCTGTGGAATAAAATATCAATATTACCAGAAATGCTACCAGACATCAGAATTGCAGAAGAAAGGATAAATTGCTTAATGGAACATCAAAACCGTTGAAAAAAAGAGAGTGAGAGCGAGAGCATGAGAGAGAGAGAGAGAGAGACTCATTAACACTTATGGAATGAAGAGAGATTAGCAGGGATTGGGTAGTTTATAAGAAGCAATGAAGTCAATCGACTTGTGCTGAGCTGCCTGAATAGAAGTGTCACTGCCCCTTCTGGGCCACTGGTTTTAAAGTTTGGGTGGACAAGGAATCAAAAGGGGGTGCAACTGTACCACTGCACCCACTGTCCCTGGATCTGCCCCTGCAATTCACTGGAAATTAACCTACCCACTCCTCTACCAACAGCTAGGTAGCTTACACCTTAGCAGTACCAATACCCTTTATAACATGTTTCCAGAGTGGATTACACAGACAGCATCTATCATCATCCCCATTTTGCAAATAGGAAATTGAGGAGGGAAAATGACTTGCCTCCTCTGGCAGGTCAGCACAGAGCCAGAAATAGATTGCAGTTCTGCAGCTCGGTTTAGCGCTCAGTCTGCTAAACCACACTGCATCGGAAACAGGAGGCATGTTGAGGTCCAAGCTTTCTTATTTTGTATACTTCGAGATCCTTCCACGAGTATACAAAAGAAGGAAGCCTGGACCTCAACATGCCTCCTGTTAGGCAAGGGAGAGAGAAAAAGAAAGCTCAGGTGAAAAATATATGGGAGTGTAATGAAAAGTAAGCCTCATAGCAAGTATGAGGGAAAAAACAGATTTCTTTTTAAGGAAGAAAATACTGTAAGAAAACTAGTCAGAGGGAAACTTGGCCTATGAGAGATGCATCAATCTTCAGAAAGAAGAGATGTATAAGAAAGGCCATAGAGAAGTCAAGTCTCTTCAGTTCAATATTTATATTAGAACATTTGATTTACAGCGTTTTGAATCTGGTTTCACAGGGCTGTGCAGCTTCTAACAACCTCCCCCATCCCCATTTAAATATCTTTCAAGTTTATGTCAAGGAAGCGCCAGCAGACTGCTCCCCTGCAGAGACCTCTCTGGATACTGTAAATCATCCTGGTTTTCTTTGGCATCACATTGACAGTAAGCAGAGAGCCCACTGGTGCTCTGATCATACACACGCTCTTCCAGGGTCTCGCCTAAGGAGATGTTAATTTACAACCACCTATAAGGCTTGTCTTCCCTCCACATCCCAAGATTCCTGAGGGGATGACAGTATTTCCTTCCTGAAGAGCCATAACAAGAGATTGGAGTTTAAAACTGAAGCATGAAATAAGAAATCTTTTCCCTTGTTTCCTATCCTGGGGATTGATCAGTCAGTTACACCAATAATGGGATCTAGGGAGAGGGTGTTAATTAAAGCAAACACAATGAGTGGTGGTACAGAAGAGAGCATGGCGTTTTTCATTTTCAGCTGAAGTGTCCTCTGAAATCTACTGGAAAATATTCACCAAAATGTAGTGCAAGTGATTCAGGAACTTCCACTGGGAAAGGACAAGCCTCCTATGAGGAGCCAGAAACAGCTTTGATACCATCCTACTGAAGTGCGTGTCGATACAAACACAAGAGGTTGCAAAAAAAGTACATCACTTCCAAAAGGGTCATTTAAGTCCCTTTCTAAAATGAAAGCCAAATTAAGGGTGGGTCCAGGCCTCTTTTTCATGACACAAGTCGGGATCACAGCTGATCTTGATTCCTCTCATCCTGGCATAGGGGCTGTAAATCTTCAATTCCCTGACACCTTTCTTATTTTGTTCATTGTCACCATGCTGTTTTTGCTGTCGTAATCCCTTTCTCCTATTTTCATCTGAATTTTTCTCTGCAGTATACTACAATACTGTTTTGAATGTTGCACATTGGTTTACCTCCCTTAGCAGCTTCTCTTTTCAAAAAAGAAAGCAAGAAAAGGAACAGAGAATCCATCAGAGCTCATAGGTATGAGTTACCGGTCTACATGTATCCAGTGTCTGAAACCTAGCATCTCTTCATCCTTGACCCAGCCCAGATGATGTGTGCTGGGAAGGAGAGATCCTTGTCTTAATCAGCATTCCCGTGCATCATACCCTAATCACACCTTGTTCTTTCCACACATACTCATTCACCCGTGACCTGTCTTCCTTTAGAAAAACTGAATGTGTACCCACAACAGGCATCACAGTTGATACAAACACAAGAGGTTGCAAAAAAAGTACATCACTTCCAAAAGGGTCATTTAAGTCCCTTTCTACATGAAAGCCAAATTAAGGGTGGGGATGTTATTTCATTAGGAAATAAATCACATGTTAAAACTTGATGGCAAGTTTAAAAAAGAAACTACCCTGCAGCAATTGGACTGGCTGATTAGATATTTGTCTCCTGAGTCTGTGGGCTGGCCCAAAACTGAAGTTACCAGAACAAACTTGAGTAAAGCAAGTTATATTGTGCCAGCACAAACAGTACATTCTTCTCCTAGCCCGCTGCATACCATCATTGCTGCTACAGCATGGCTGTAATGCGGGCCTCTTCTACCCAAGTACTGTAATAGGAAATCTCAAAGATACTGGAATCTGTATCCTCAAGAGGATTACTCTTCATGGTGCTGGGGATTTAAGGTTTTCTTTTCTGTCAGAGGAAATTTTACTGTAGCTGAATAGTAAAAGCACTAAGGTTAGGAATCAAAACTGTACTAAACCCAGACAACCAAAATTATTCACACTCATGCAGCTGAATCTCTGTTTTAGGCCCAGGGATGAGCACTGAGACAGATATATACTCTAGTTAAAATTAAACTCCAAGCTACAGCGTAACAGGAAAAAAATATTCGTGTGTCACTGTTATATTATTTCTAGTGCCATTTGTGGTCAGCTGGTTAAATCTGCATTTAAGCAAGAATTCCCCACATGCCTGGCTCAGACTCAGAAGGAAATTGAGGTGGATTCTTAATGGAAAACAGTAAGTAAGAGAAGAGAGAGATTGTGGCTTCCTCCATATGCCTTTCCCTGTATCCTGGTTTCCAAAAGAATCACTATTACCAGTCAAGTCATGGACCAGATTCCCTGTGAACCTAGGACCTTTGGTGATTCATAGCAAGGGCCATGCAACTTCAGTGGAAACTATGGGTGCTTTCCACGTGGTCATGTCAGGCCAAAAGGGACTACCTTCAGCTTGGCTGCAAGCAGGAGCCCAGCACAGTGTCAATAAAAAGTGTTGGCTGTGAGAATACAGAGGGTGGGGCAGAGATGCACCTTATAGACTAACTAAATCAGAGAAGTAGAGCAGGGAGTTTTGTGAGCCCAAGCTCACATCATCAGATGCTTTGAAAGAACATGCACAGAGTAGTGCAATGCAGCTAGGAAAGAGAAGAGCTGGAGGTGTGGGTAAACGTGACTCATGCGGGTTATGAAGGTCCCATTATGAAAATATTGTTTAACTTCAAAATTGTTAAGGGAGGTAAGCCAAATAGGGTCCTGAAGACTCCTATCCAGTGTTTAGGGGGAAGTAATAAAACCTATAGTGTATGTATGTCTGATAAGATGATGACGCGAAAGAGATTCTTTTCTGGCTCCTGGCACCAAATTTGGTAATGGAGTATGCCTGGTATATAGGCAGAGGAATCAGGGATCCATTCCACTTCAATTCCAAGAACTTCAGTCAGCTCATAGCAGATCTAGGCAACAGCGCAACAGTGACTCAGCTATACAGTGTATAAAGATGAACACGTCAGATATGTGCAGAGTCTGAACAAGCATTTTTCTAAGAAATTGCGAAGTGGTCTGTGTTGTGCTGGCCCTACATCATGATATCCAGTTGGGTGGAGTTGCAGATGTTCTGGAGGGTAGGACAGGGATTCAGAATTACCCAGATAAGTGGGAGAAATGGTCCAAAAAATCAATCAAATGAAACTCAACAAGCAGAAGTACAAAGTCCTGCACTTAGAATGGAATAATTACATGCATAAATACATACTGGGAAATGAGTAGCTAAGCTGTGATTCTGCAGGGCACCTATATACGAGCGTGGAGGCTGCTCCAACGTGCTGGAATTCCAGTGCATCGGAGCAGACTCAATTAATCAAATCTGTTGGAGCATGGCAATTACTGTGCTCCAGCAGCCTCCTGGGTCTCGCATATCAGTGTCCCTGTGTTTAAAAATGGTGGTGGAGGTGCTTGAACTAAAGCTTGTCAAATGAGCTTTAGTTCAAGTGCCCCCACTGCCATTTTTAAGTGCAGAAACACTGATATAGGAGACACCGTGGTGCTTTAATTAGAGCAGCTCTTGGAGATACTTTAATTAAAGTGCCGTCTTCCCTCGCCCCCCACCCCAGCATACATGAAAGTGCCTACAGATAGGGCCTGAGGGTTTTAGTGGACCATAAACTGAATATTAGCCAACAGTATGCTCTCGTAGCAAAAACAGTCAACACCATATGTTGTATTAACAGGTGTGTTGCGGGCAAATCAAGGAAAGGGTTTCTGATGATCTATTTGCCACTGGTTGGGCCTCACCTGAAGTACCGTGTCCAGTTTTGGGCTTCAAGAAAGATTCGGATGGATTAGAAAGGGTCCAATGGGGAGCAACACAAATAATCAGAGGCTTGGGAAACACGACTTAGGATCTAGGATTATTTAGTTTGGAGAAGAGAAGACAGAAGGGCAATTTGAAAACCATCTTAAAATACCTCAAGGACAATTATAAAGGGGATGAAGATATGCTATTCTCTGTGGGGATAGGACTAGGAGCAGTGGCCTCAAGCTGTAGCACAGGAAATTTACGTTGAAGATTAGGAAGAACTTTCTTACTATAAGGGTATTTAAGCATTGGATACACTACCTAGAAAAGCTGTGGAATCTCCATACCTGGAAATTTGCAAGGGCAGGTTGGGATGGTTCAGTCAGGGATGACCTGCCTTGAGCAGGGAGTTAGAGAATATGACCTCAGGAGGTCCCTCCCAACTCTTTGATCCTGCCCAGGACAAGTGATCATTGCACAGGAGGTTTCTTTCAGACAGAGATGTCTTTTGCATTGAGCTCAGTCTGAATTTAGGGAGATGGACACTGGGGAAAGAGGTGGGCCCCTTAATTTCAGTATTTTCTGTACTCTGCACCCTGCCTAAAGCTCTTATGAAGAGCCACACAGAGAAGAAGAGACAAGTAGTGGTAGAAGAAAAGACACTGATTCCTAGAAGAGCTCATATGAGGCCCCTTTTTGAATCAGTGTTTATGCTAATTATGTTTCTTTCTGTACTTTTGCATAGCTGGTAATGTAGATGAGGGAGGGTGGCCTATACTGCTCAACTCGAAAGGGCAACAAAGATGTACCACTAGACAATTGTTTTTGAATAATACAAAAGGTACTGCATGAATCCAAATATATATTTTAACTCTGCAGTGAATGATAGCTATCTTCATATGTGGAGCTAAACTCTTTGGGCTCCATTAATCACATTTTATGACATTTCCACAAAGTACCACAAGTAAGCATTACTATACCCATTTTACAGATGGATATCTAAAAGCAGGCAAAATTCAACAGAGTCATCTTTACTAAAGTGAATGGACCAGTATTTAAACAGGATTGTCAAATATGGCCCACAGGGGGAAAAAAGATCTCTCCAAGATCCATACACCGAGTTAACAGCAGACCTAGGAACAGAAACCCAGGATGCCTGACTTCCAGCTGTCTCAGCTTGTCATTGTCTCTCTTTCTTTTGTGATCATAAGCTCTTTCTGCAGGTCCTGGATTTCTCTTACAATTATTCCTTCCCAATAATTTTTAATATCACAGTGTTTGCCTTCCTGCTGCTTTCATCTTCAAATATCTCAAGCATAATAGAAGTTTTTTTGAGCCAGCTTTCTACATAATAAAGTGCATTCTTGATGTGCTGAATTCATCATAATCTGTTATTAGGTAATGATTAGTGGAGCTGTAAATGTAGTCATACATGATGCACCCAATATTACAGAAAACCATATCAGCAGATTTATGACCAATCATTATACTATGTCTCTTTGATCTGCTGCTTCAGGAAATAGAGGGAGTTGGTGTAGAATTCACCACTAGACACTGAAATGCTAAAGAAAAATTGAAAGAAACTGTAATAACCACTGGTCATGAAACAAAGTTTACAAGAGCTGTTGTGTAATTGATCTTGATAGGAGTAGTTACAGGGAAGAAACAGGATGTGCAATCTCTAGCTACCACTTTGTACTGCTCTGGTTTTACTGACAAATGGTTGAGATCAGGCCAGCCAGCCTTACTTGCTCAATTGCCTATTGTAGGAACTGTGAAATCAGGCAGATGGTTTCCCAAACTGCAGGTTAGCAGTGTTTGGGACAGTCTCTTTGAACAAGATGTGGCAGACAATGGAACAGGTACAAGCACTGAAGGAAGAAAAACAGGGTGACCTGAAACACAGTCCAAAATATTTTGAAGCTCCTCTACACATGTAAATATTTAGTGGACTCATTTTTCATATTTGCACTCCATCCCATGGCCATGGCCCAGCCAGATCCAGAACCTGCCAGGCTGAAATATTGGGAAAAAAAGTATTTTGCATTAAAACAATATACATAAGATAGTAAGAGATGTTCATGGACAATGGCATCAGATGCTTTGTCTAATTTCTTAGAATGAGAATTCTGTTCTATAGAGTCACGCTGTCAAATGCATCCTGAAAAACCCAATAAAAGTGTTCATTTTTACCAAAATTGCATAGGGGCACATCTATGTTGCTTTAAGGAGAATAACTTTTCTAAGCCTCAAAAGATAGTGTATAGCGGTAATCTGTTCCACTTGAGGAATTTAAGTGGTTCATATGATTTCCCAGAAGTGATCAGCAACTTCTTCAGTACCTTCAAGAATCTACTAAAACCAGGCAATGGTTTTAATAGAAATGTGGTCTTCTTACTAATAAGTGATTGAGCCAGGAGCTATTAGCTGTGACAAACAGAATCCGAGAAAAAGGGAAGTGGAACCTGAAAACAGCAAAGCCTATGATGCTTCTGGCAGCTTGCAGGTGCTATGTGAACAACTGCCAAACACAGTAGTGATTACTTATGCAAAAATTAATTATGAACATTTCTGTGCATTTGGTACACTGTGAGCTGTCGAATACTTCCTGCAGGATGAGGTTCTGGACATCTCTCGCATCAGGGCCTTCACCTTGTTGTGCCTCTGCTTCCCCAGACAGAGGGTGACCACAATAGCATTGCCTTGTCTTTGGATGCCAGTACTCCTCTTCTGATGCTGATGCCATCCCTGTGCCAATCGGCATCAGATTTGGGGGCCTGGAAGCTTGGCATCTCATTGGAAGAGAAACTGGTGACATGGGTTGTAGTTATCTGCTAAGTATAACTTGTTCTATGTGCTCATTTATACCAGTCCTTGAACAGAGATACAGATTATTTCAAAAATCCCTCCTCAGCACTGAGAGAGACCAAACTCTACTGCAGCTCACACAGATGCCTCTCCTCAGACCGCTCACTCTACTAGGAACAGGACACCACATGTCTCACCAAGACTGACCACTTGGCCATAGGCTAAGAAATATGGCTGGGAAGAGCACGCAACAAGGACCCCTGGTGGCACCTGCAACAACCAACATCGTACCGACCCTGCTTCGTCAGTGAAAGATAATGTGCAAACGCTAATGCAAAATTATTTTAAATAGAGAAATATTTAACTTGTATCACATTTAAAAAGTACAAAATAAATGTTAGAGACAAAGTAATCTCTGACTGAAATGAAAACTAAAGAGTCATTTTCCTTAGGACTGGAAACACGTAGATGCCAATCTGGGAGAAACCAAATCAGCTGTATTTTCTTCAGCAGTCCAGAGCTTCTTCCTGACCTGAACAGAATGTGAAAACCCAGAGGAATGGACACTCTGAAATAAATGTCCTCTCCATATATGGACATATTACTTACGTATCCACTTACCTTTGCATCAGCAGCAATGAGTCACTTTGTATGCAGAAGTGTGAAGGATCAGTGAACAGGAAAAAGCAGATATACCAGACTAAGGCTCTAGACTTATCTTCTGGTGGGAAAGGCAGAGATGGAGGAATAGCTTGCACTTTGCTGTGGTCTCCTATTTGCTGCTCCATGACAGCCATGGCCAACGTCCAGCTTTCTTCTCCTGTTTCCACATAGCAGTAGTTCCTCCACACTAGGTTAGCATTGCATGGCCCTTTGTTCTGTTCCTAGGCCCTACACATTGCAGAACACATACCAAAGGAACAGGAAATTTGGGTCCAACACAGAAGTTGCTTTGCCTCCTTTCATGCCATCCTATGATTCATTTCTTTTGGGCTAGCTGTGCCAGTTTCAAGCCATGGATAGCATGGTAACGGTAAAGTATTTCGTGTCACTATCTGACTGAGAGCAAGCACCAGCATGTCCTTCAGCCGAGGTGAAGTCTGTGTGGACCTCACTCACTCCAGGCTGCTCTCTTATCTTTGCCACTTAACTTGTGCCTTGTCCTTTCAGTGGTTGGGTCACTAGGAGAAGGCTACTCTCTGGCATCCACTGGCTGAGTCCATTGTTGGGGCCCCTAGGCCCTGGCCCTCTCCTAGACCCACCCTCAGTCTTAGCTGAGTGTTTCCCCAAACTGCCCTTTCTTCAGGCCTACAAGTACTCCTTCTGCTGGGGTCTTGGTAGCCCTAGTCTTTCTCCAGGCCAACTCCATCTTAGCTTGGGTCCTCCTAACACCGGTCTCTCCCCAGGCATACTTACAATGTGCTCTCCAGGTCCAGGCTTCTCCAGCAGAAGTTCCTTTCCCTTCCACTGCTGGACTTCTGCCCTTTGCCTGCTCTCCATCCCTCTCTTAAATCCCTGCCAGGACGGGACCACCTCTCCCTTCCTCCTTTGTAATGGGGGAAAAAAGAGGACCTGTTAAACTGACCATTACAGATGCATCTCCACAAGTTTCTGTGTATTTGGCATCTTACCACCAGATGATTTCTTGGCAAAGTAGTCACCAAGCTACTCAGCTTTTACAGCAGCTTGGGTAGCAGTGTCAGCAGTGATTTCAGTAGCTACTGCAGTCGTGGGAAGAATGAAGAACAGGAGGAGGCTTCTGACCAATTTTCATAGGAACAGTTCTTGAATGACTCTCACATGAGTTGGTGCCAATTCTGAGTTTGTGAAATAAGCAAAACTGGTTTGAAATGGTTTTGCTTCCTGCCTGGGTTGCAGAATTTCAAGATAACAAAGCATGCTTTTTCTGGAAGTCTGCAAGGAGCTTACCCCAGAGCTGCAGAACCAGCACCCTAGCACAACGTCCTGTGTGAGTTGTCATAACCTCAACAAGAACCTTGAGTACTGAAAGATGCATTTGCATTTTGCTGGAGATAAAGAATTGTGCTTATCGTTTCAACAGGGGTAAATTAAGCTTAGTGTGAACATGCTTACCTCATTGGCAAAATCAGTTTGGCATCACTCAGCCCACAGCCCTCAGGCCAAATCCAGCTCACAGACCTCCCCTTAGGTCAGAAAATTTGGCAGTGGGGGAGCAGTGGCCCCTCCCCCCCACCCAACTCCCAAGTCCTGCACAGCTGGACCAGGCCCTGCACACCTGGTTGAGCCCAACAGACAGATCCAGCCTACAGATGGACCGGGCACTGCCCAGCAGCCTGTTGAGCTAAAAGGTTGGGTAGCATTGATTTAAGTAAATATGAAAACTCCCATCTGATTTTGCCCTAAACGCCATGGAGATAAACATACAATACAAGGGTGGGATGGACATTTTTCTATTGACTTCAGTAGAAATAGAGCTGCCCTGAGCACTGAGTTATCTCCTATGTAAAATAACAGGTGTTTCAAAACCAAAAGGGCATAGAAAATAGCAAGTACACCACAAGCTACAGTCTGCAAAGAACTGTACAGTGATTTATTTTGTTTATGTATAGCTCATCACTGCCACATCATCTCCCAATATTTCTGGTAAACAGATAAGGTTTAGTGAAATTTTGTCCTTGATGTACAGTAAATTTGCTTTTCAAAAAGCTGAAAATATTTGCAAAATGACAACACATTTGGCCAATAATTTCAACCAAAAATTATTACAATTTCAGCCATTTTTTGAAGAGTGTTAAAATATGTTAGCATCATAGACTCAAAGGACTGGAAGGAACCTGAACAATCCTCAAGTCTGGTCCCCTGCCATGGGCAGGAGGTTATTGGGCTCAAATGAGCTATCCAGCTTCCTCTGGAACACCTCCAAGGATGGTGACTGCACCACCTCTGCTGGGAGTGTGTTCCACATTCTAGTTATCCTCATGGAAAATAAGTTTTTTCTTATGTCCAGCCTAAATTTTTCCTCTATTAGCTTGTGCCCATTGGTCCTTGTCCTCCCAATGAGTGTCTTCCTGAAGAGTTTCTCCCCTAGGTCTTGGTGCTCACCCCTGACATACTTGTAGGAGGCTATCAAGTCACCTCTGTCTTCTCTTACTCAGACTGAGCAGGCCCAGTGCCTGGAGTCTGAGTAAGAGAAGACAGGACACCACTGGAGACGGCTCTCCAGAATGAGGCCATCCCATCAAATACAACTCTCTGGAATCAGCCTCTAAGCCAGTTGTCCACCCACCTCACTGTAGACTGGTCTAGGCCGGTACCCTCCAATTTAATTGAGAGAACTCATGGGAAACAGAGTCAAAGGCTTTACTGAAGTCTAAGTAAAAAATATCAATCTTTTGTCCCTTGTCCAGCTGGTTAGTTACCTGGTCATAAAAGGACATCAGGTTAGTTAGGCATGATCTACCCCCGACAAAGCCATGCTGGTTGCTTCTTAGTACCCCACCAGTTACGATCTAGTGATTTATGGCCTCCTTAACAATTTTTTCAAAGATTTTTTTCCCAGGACTGAAGTCAGACTGACCGGTTTATAGTTTGCAGGGTCACTCCTCTTGCCTTTCTTGAAGATAGCCACCACGTTGGCCCTTTTCCAGTCATCTGGAACCACTCCCGAGTTCCATGACTCTTCAAACAGCTTTGCCAGAGGCCCTGCTATAAGCTCAGCCAGTTGCTTCAGGGCTCTTGGATGCAGGTCATCTGGCCCAGCTGACTTGAAAATGTTCAAATGTTCTAAGAGTTCTGATGTTCTGATTTCATGGGGTCTGTTGTCTTCCCCATATTCCCTGGGCCTCTGCTCCGGTGAACAGCTCCCGTCTGATTTCAGCAATACAGATGCGAAGTATGTATTTAGGAGCTCTGCCTTTTCCTGGGGACCAACTGTGGGCTGTCCCTCCATATTCAGTAGGGGTCCCACAGAGGAGCTCGATTTTTTCTTGCTCCTTAAGTACCTATAAAAGGATTTTTTGTTGTCCTTAATTTTGGTAGGCAGTTTGATCTCCATGCCTGCCTTGGCTTTCCGTGTCTCGTACCTGCAGACCCTGGTTATATAAGTGTACTCCTCTCTGGACGCTGAACCATTTTTCCATTGCTTATATGCTTCTTTTTTCTTTTTCAATAGTTCCTTGTTCATAGATTCATAGATGTTTGTGTTGGAAGGGACCTTAGCAGATCATTGAGTCCAACCCCCTGCTCTGGGCAGGAAAGAGCACTAAGTTCAGACGACCCCGGCCAGGTGTACGTCTAGCCTCCTCTTAAAGACTCCTGAGGTAGGGAAGAGCACCACCTTCCTTGGAAGCTAACTCCAGATTTTGGCAACCCTCACTGTAAAGAAATTCTTCCTGATGTCTAACCTAAATCTGCTCTCCATCAGTTTGTGGCCATTGTTCCTAGTTACTCCAAGGAGTGCCCTGGTAAACAGAGCATCTCCTATTCCTTGCTGTCCTCCCATGATGAATTTGTAGGTGGCCACAAGATCACCTCTCAGCCTTCTCTTGTGGAAGCTGAAGAAATCCAGGTCCCTCAGTTTCTCCTTGTAGGTCCTTGCCTGCAGGCCTCTGACCATACAAGTGGCCCGCCTCTGAACCCTCTTGAGGTTGTCTACATCCTTCTTGAAGTGCGGCACCCAAAACTGGACGCAGTACTCCAACTGCAACCTGACCAATGCCACATAAAGAGGAAGTATCACCTCCCTGGATCTATTTGTCATGCACCTGCTAATGATAAAGTGTGGTTAGCTTTACTGATCACTTTGTGACATTGACAATTCATGTTCATCTTGGAGTCATCAGTGACTCCCAGATCCCTCTCCGCTGCCATGCTGCTGAGAAGGTCCTCCCCTAGCCTGTAAGTGTGCTGGTGATTCCTTCTCCCTAGGTGTAGCACCTTGCATTTTTCCTTATTGAACTCCATCCTATTCTGTGTCCTTAATATCCCTGTTGAGCCAAGTAGTCACTTAGCTCCTTTTCCGCTTTTTGACCATGTGGGAATGGCCTCATTTTGGGCAGTGAGGATTGCCCCCTTAAGGAAGCACCACCATTCCTGAACTCCCATATCATCCAGTCACTGGTTGCAGAGGGGCTCTCTAACTAGACTCCTGAGTTTGCCTAAGTGCTTTCAAAATAAAAACACTTCATTTCAGAAATGCTGAAACTTTCCATTTTAACATTTTCTGAAAGATTTTTTTTTTTTACTTTTAATTTGAAAACAATTTTTGTGTAAAATTTTACCTGTATTTAAATAAAAAGGGGGAGGGGAGGATGCTGGTTCTGTCTGCCAGCTGTCAGTTAATAGTTCACTTTTTACTGCATGTCTGAAAAATATCACTAACGCAGCCAGCTGCCACTGCCCACTAGAGCACCGAGCAGCAGCTTCTGAGACAGTGATCAATACATAGTAAATAGATATGGAGTTCAGTTTTGAGAAATTGCCTGATACTAAACATATCAGAACCAGCAGTGCAACAACACAGCAGGGTACACGGGGCAGCTGCTAGGCACCAGGGCAGTGGCTAATTCTACGTGCAGCTAGATCACAATCGCACAGCTGCAGCAAAAGCAGTTTTTCTGCCCTCTGATCCCTATCAGCACTCAGGTTGATCACTCCTGTTGCCCTGCCCCAGCTACACTACTGTTTAGGCCCAGCTAAGTTCAATCAATTAACTTAGTAAAACCGAAGGAATTGGAACTCGTGGTAGAGCTGATATCTTTTATTAGACCAACTAAATTTTTACACTAAAAAATTCTTTAATTTCTAGCTTTCTGGCACAAGCACCCTTCTTCAGGCATAGCGGAAACAATTATACAAGTTCTCCTAGGTAGAAATGATTCACGTTTCTTAGGAGAGTTGAAGTTGTAGTAAAACCTCGTGTTTGGAACAGTTTATTTTATGCAGATTAGGTTCAGAGAAAAATTGGAATAGTCTGTTTACCTCAAAGTTGTTTCGTGGCAAGCAAGATGTAGAGTCATTTCCTTCTGGCTATCGTGTTTCATATGTCACAGAGAAGTAAAAAGGGGGAATGCTCTTCTGGGCAGGCATTTCTTATGTGATGAGGTGTCTCTGACCTCTGTGATGAGGCTCTGTGATGATGCAGATTACCTCAAACAAAGGCAGGAGTAGGGTTCCAGGTGGTCAAACTTGCTTCCTCCTTGTCAAGTTATGAAGATTTCCTTTTAAAGATTGGCTAAAATTTGATATCTTCCATCAAAGAGCTCAGAGACACCTTACCACATAAGACATTCCTGCCCAGAACAGCATTCCATCTTTTTCCTTCTCTGTGAAATATGAAACACCATAACTGGAAAGAAATATGACTACATCCTGTTTACCACCAAACCTTTGAGGTAAACAGACTATTCCAACTTTTCCTGGAGCTTATTCTACGTATAAAATGAACTGTTCCAAACAGGGGATTTTACAATCTTTTCTCCTATGCCTGAAGAAAAGTGCTTATGCCCAAAAGCACAGGCAACTGGTAGGTGGGGCACATGCCCCCCCTGAGATCGGCCCCCAACTCTGCACTGCTCAGGGTGGGGCAGTTTTTTTTTGCCAGCACGAGCTGGTGGTATGTTGCAGCGGGGGGGCACAGAAGTATAGGATTGGATATGTGGCTTCTGGCCCGCCCCTGGGCTCACCCACAAATTGTGGCCCCCCTCAGACTTAGGAGGCACCAGTAACCCCTTCCCAAAATCTTGCAATTAAAATATGTTTTTTGCAAAAATCTAGTTGGTCTAATAAAAGATATTGCCTCTACCATGAGTTCTGATTCCTTTTGCCTCTAGACCAATATGGCTACAACCTTGATACCTAAAAGCAAAGAAAGCACCCCTAAAAAAAGAAGGGATATTACTTCTTGGGAGGCCAGTGTTGTGTTAGTCACCTCACAGAGACCTGCTCCAAAAATTAATGCTCAGAAGTAGGGTTGGAGTGGTGTTGTACCCGTGATGGTCCAAAAAATGGTCCAGAGAGGCCAGACTTTTTTGTAGTATCTTTTATTGGACCAACTGTATCATTGGTAGAACTCAGGTCATCTCTGCTCAAAAAATATATATTTAATCCCACCTTGTTTCAACAAGCAGATGAGCAGAAGTTTATATGCCTTTCCCCAAACAGTTTTGTCCCCCTCACTGTCTATTTTGACCATTATAAGCCAAATTTAGAGAGCAGATATTTTATATATATGCTAGTTATTCCCAATACAATGTGATTGTTTTGGATATGAGAGCCATATCTTCAGTAAGACACTAAAGCCTAGAAATATTACAATTCAAGGTTAGTTGACTATATGTAAAAAACATTCTAATACTATGCTTCATAGTTACCTTAAATGCAAACATTATAGGGAAATACAGCACTGACTTACAAAGAAATCAGTTTCCTTAG